AGGGGGGGATGGGGGGGAGGGCACGGGAGGAGGGGAGGGAAAGGGAGAGGGACCTCATACTGACTTGTGAAGCAACCTTGTTTCTTATCTAAATTTAAAATGGAAAATAAAAAAAATTAATAAATATAAAAAAAAACAAATGGACTTCTTGTGTCCATGGCACAAGGAGGGATGCTTTCTAAGCCTGGAATATGGGGGGAGTGCCTGGACTCTGCCCTGAGTGAAATGACAGACTCTGGATAACCCCTGTGTGGATGTAAGTGGGGATGCGGTGGGAGGCTTGGGGGGATTGTGGTGGGGTGCAGGAGGTGAGAGAAAGGGAACTGGGATATGTGGAGCGAGCTATTTAAAATTAAATTGATAAAAATTTATTTTTGCATCTTTCATGCTTTCAGAATGAGTATAACATGGTTTATTCCCCAAATTTGGGTTTTAAGTTGTCATGGATGCTACCACAATTATACCAGAGTTGCAGGAAGGTCCGTATGAAGTTGCTTCTTCAGCTAAGGAATCAAGTTGCCTATTCCTCCTTAAATTAAAGGCTTAGATGGATGCAGTCTTACCGTTTGGATATCTTCCTAGGTTTCAAATGTTGAGAGAGACCTTTTCTTCAATGGCGCTAAACTTCTTGAAATTTCCTGCCTCTGCTTCAACACAGTACTGCCATTTGAATATTTTCCTCTACAAATCTGACTGTTCATTTCTTTCTGTCCCACTTGCTTCTATAGCATCATTAATAAACACCCAGCAGAATAAATAATTTGTCCATGAAATCAGCCTATTAACTTTTAATTCTGCCTCACTCAAGTTCTCACGGAATGGAGAAAAAAAGTAATTTGGGAAAAATAGTATGCAAATGACCTCTAGCTAAAGATTTGATTGAGTCTATTTCCCACTGAAATCCTGTGACCTCAAGCTTCACTGTCTGCATTTCTTTCAACACTGCCATATTTCTAGTCCTATAAGAACAGTCAATTAAGAACTTGAGCAGCTTTGTATGACTTTTGCCATCCAAAGTGGCAATATCTTCCACATTCCTCCAAAAGACAACATTCTCACATTCTACCCAGCAACAAAACTACTTTTGATGCACCACATTGTGATGAAACTCTTGTTCCTTGCTGTGATTAAATTCTCTGATCAAAAACATCTCCATTTATGTGGGTGATATTCCCGGATCACAACCCATAATTGCGGGAGCTTAGAATAGAAACTCAAGCAAGAAACTGAAGGCCAAAACCACAGGGAAACTTTTGTAAGGCTTTCTGTCTTGCTTGATAACTGTCTTTGCACAGCTAGCTCTGTTTTCCATACCAGGCCCACTTACTTAGTGTTTTGCAAACAGAGTGGCAGTGCAGTCCCACATCAACCACAACCAAGACAATTACCCATAAACAAAGGAACTAGTGATTCTGATCTGGGCAAGCCTCAATTGATGTTCCCTCAGATGATTCTAGTCTACATTATATTGACAACTGAAGCTAATAAAGACAGAGACAATAATATAGGAGAAGATTTTAAAAACACAAAAAGAATATATTAGTCATATCAATTACTTTTGCAGAAAAAATACCCAAACATGAATTTAGCATGGAAAATGCAGATATATCAAGAAATGAGAAGAAGCAAGTCTCTAAGATCAAGAAGAGAGAATGAAAGCTGTCTCTCAACAGACACTTCCAAAAAAAGTTAGGGAACTTATAGTGCTATAGTAAATTTTCTGAAAAAAAAAGGTGTTGATCAACCATTTTCTACAGAAATAACAAAACAATAACTTTAATTGACAATACAATGAACAACATAGATGGCACCACTGAGCAGACAAGACAAAATGACATACCTACAAACATATATTATGGTCCCTTAGACACAAATAACAAGATTCTAATGGAAACCATAGGACATCACTGGCCAGCACTCATCCTGTGCACTCCAGTTCTGTCCTTTGCCAATAGTAGAAAACCGAGTGGGCATGGAGAGCTCTACTGCCAAAACTGGAGAGATTCACTTGAGGATATCTGAAGATTAACTTTGTAGAGCATAGTTTTGACTACTAAAAGGATGTCATTCTCAGCCAGGCATTGGTGGTGCACGCCTTTAATCCCAGCTCTCGGGAGGCAGAGGCAGGCGGATCAGTGAGTTCGAGGCCAGCCTGGTCTACAGAGCGAGTTCCAGGACAGCCTCCACAAAACAATACAGAGAAACCCTGCCTCAGAAAATCCAAAAAAAAATCAAAACAAAACAAAACTAAAAAAAAACAAAATAAGGATGTCATTCTCTTGATAAAGAAAAGGTTGTCTGATAGGATCATTCAGGCACCTTTTCCTATGACTAATGATTGACAGTCTGAATCAAACTGAAGAAATTAAAACTTTTCCAAACCAAATGCAAGATAACAGATTCTATAAAAATCAGTGTACACCTAAAGCAACTTGTTTTACTCTAATTGCTTTATGAGTCATAAGTACTTTTGAAAATATTCTTGTTGCTATTTTTTACATATTTGTGCATGAGACAGAATGTCTTCCATTTGTTTACAGGTGACATACAAGAAAACAGGGTGTCAGATGTCCTGGATCTGAATAGTAGGTAATTATGAGCCTCCCAACCTGAGTGTAGATATCTGAACTCACGTCATCACCCAAAAGAATATGTGCTGAGCCACCTGCCAAGACCCATAATATCTTTTATCCAGTCAACCAAAAGTCTTTCACGGATTAATAACAAGAACAAATACTAAATAAATAAAGAAGTAAATAAATGATCCCGAGTAACATGATGCATCAATGTTAAGATGTTGTACATGGTAAATTTGTACCATAAAATGACTACAATCCAATGACAATGCCCAACAATTTACAACAGGAAAGATGATTGCAAAGCTACATTCACAGTGGAAAAATTCAGAATGTGCAATGTGATTATGAAAACAAAGTACAGGTTGGCATAATGGATTCTATATTTACTGCAAAGACACAACACTCAAGAATGTGTAAAATATTTGTGAAAGTATAAAGTGGATTGGGGAGAAAAAGCCAAGAACACAGGCAAAAGAAACAAACAGAAAAAGTTGACAAGTGTTACCCAGCTACCTACGTTTCTATGTGTATAGAATTAAATAAGGGTGGACTTCACAACTTTCACAATATTAACTCAAAGTGACCCTGAAACTGTTGTTTCTGGGCCTCAAGATACTGATATTTCTTCCAAAGACAGAAGCCCCATGCTCTAGAACTCCCTCTGCAAATGGAGGTCATCTCTTGCTATGACTCTACAGTCCCTTATGCCCCCTTATGGTTTCAGGAAACACAGCCCTACTGATGTGAATCCCAAAACATAGAAGAATGATTTAAAATCTACTTCCTGCCACATAGATTATGGCACAGATGTGGATCCTGTCCTAAGTACCTGCCAAACACCATGCACAACTGAGAAACCTCTGCAGAACAGAAACTCCTTCAGTCTCCTGGAACTAAACTGCACTGAATTATCCCACTGTGGCTGGATAAAAGCCACAATGAAAGTTAAAAGCATTCTAATCAAGTATTGCTGTGAGAAAATCCACATACACCATCTTTCTGCCAGTTTCTAATGTCTATGTAACTTGTATACAGAAAAACTTGAAAGCAGAATGCAGTATTCAGAATTTCTAGAAACCAGACCTTCAGTTTACCAATCTGTCTTCCCACTGCACACCAAAAGCAAATCCTGGGTGTTTGCATTAGACACTCTTTTCCACTCTCCTAGAGTACATCCTGTTCCTCATGCAAAGCACAGGGACCTTTGTGTGCACATTCCATTACACACTCAAGGGGGATCTCAGGAACATTACTGATTAAGCCCACAGGGCCTTGGGTCTGAAAACCATGGCTCTGTATGCTGGGAAGCATTGGGTTCTCAGGATCTGAAGCAACCTCTCCACAAATGCCCTGGACCCTGACCATTGCAATTGCTCCCAAGAACATTGCTGATTTTAAAGAACCAGCTGTGTTTTTTGTTGCTGTTGTTGTTGTTTTGTTTTGTTTTTGTCAATGTCAGGCTCTTAGGGAAATCTCCCAGGCCCTAGGCCCCAGGCTGTTACTAGCTCTCCCAGGAATGTTCCTCTTCCCTGCCTGAGGGCTTAAATGAAAGGCTTGAATGACTAGGCAAGTCCTTAACACATAGTGTTTTACTTTTCAAATACTTGTCACCTGGTGTCATATTGCCCATCTGGCAGAACTATGCTTTTCTCAAGAAAACTGGGGCTTTATGTCACACCAGACCCTAAACTTGGCTGTGGCCCTGCAATGCCTCCTTGAGCAGCTTGTTTGAGGCCTTTTCTTTGATACAGGCTTGGGCCTAATGGCTTGTTATGAATCAGGGATGGCTCCTTTTTAATGGTTTGGAGGCAAGTGTCTGGACAATCCTGGTGAACAAAGTTAATCCTACCCTCCTAATCTCTAACAGGCCAGGTTAGCCTACACTTATCTTTGGGGTGTTTTAGATGCAGTTCTCCCTCAGCTAAATTCTACTTTGTGAGACTCACTATATCCTAAGAATTTGTAAATCGTTTCTATCACCAATTCTACTTCTCTACATCACCACAGAGTAGTGGATACACCACACACAAGTCACCTTTACAACCTCCACAAACTTCATATGAATGGAACTACCAGGTTCATTACAAAGTGCTGACCATTAGAAAATACTGGAGACATTAGTCCTCTCCAACTTTGGAAACCTGCTTTCCTTCAGTGCACTAAAAGCATGCTGAAGTTGGCTACAGAAATATTTCTACACACAGTTCCCTGCTTCCAATACTCTAAGCAAACCCAATCCACAGAACAAAGTTATTCAGATACCTGCCCCTGGGCCCAAGGAGTTTCAGGGACTGCATGGGTCCTAACAGGACAGGGAATGTGGCTGCAAGTTTCCAACCAGATCTAAGTAGGACAAACCACACTGGCTCCAGCACCTCACCATCTGCTCCTCCCATCTGGGACCAGCAACCCCTCACTCACCATGTTGTGGTTTCGCAGCTCGCCCATGCTCTCTGCTCAGCTGTCTGTAGTAGCAATGGCAGCACAGCACACAGAAACACTAGAGCCAGTTCCTCTTCAAAGCCAGTCCTGAAGCTGGGGCCTGAAGGTCCCTGTACCACTTCAGACTAGCATGTCGCCAAGGGGCCTGATTGGCTAGTGAGGCCTGACTGACAATAGCACCTCCCATAGGATTCCTGTGTGCTTAAAGACACAGCACAAAGATTCCCAGCCCTGCCTTTCATAAAGAGTAGTCTTTCAGCTGGGCGTTGGTGGTGCACACCTTTAATCCCAGCACTCAGGAGGCAGAGGCAGGCAGATCTCTGTGAGTTCAAGGCCAGCCTGGTCTACAGAGCAAGTTCCAGGATAGGCTCCAAAACAATACAGAGAAACCCTGTCTCAAGAAACAAAAACAAACAAACGAGCAAACAAACAAAAAGAGTAGTCTTTCTAGAAAATTGAATATTTAGAGAGTACCATAGCTGGGAAGAGTGTGTTTATGAGCACTGTTGTTAGCCAGCACGTCTTCCAGGATGGACAGGTGATTGCGATAACACAGCTCCATTATTCAAGGTTCTGTACATGAACAGGACTGAGAGGATGAATCTCTCCATGTATGTAGAAAAAGTGTTTATTTATTTCTGATTTTCTAAAATAAAATGTAGCATTAGATATATCTTTAAATTTGGTTATTGGTTTTGTCACACTGATAGATACTTGTTAATTAGTGGAAATCTTGTTTATTAATTTAATCTTTTTTATTCTTTTTTGTTTTTTTGAAAGAGGATTTCTCTGTATTGCTTTGGGATTATCTTGGAACTTGTCCTGTATTAATTTAATCTTATAGTCATTCATTTTTGAAACCTATTAAAGTTCACAAATTAAGCAAATTGTTGGTTAAAAAGCTCCAGTCACCAAAGAAGGAGAAAGTGAACTCTGTCTCCAGTTCTAAAGCCACTATTTACAATTATAGTTAAATGACTGAATGATGGGGCTGGAAAGATGGTACAACAGTTAACAATAGTGGATGATCTTCCAGATGACCTGGATTCAATTCTCAGCACACACATGATGGCTCACAACTGTCTGTAGATACTGTTCTAGAGGATTTGATGCCTGCACACACATATACATGCTGGCAAAACACCAATGTACATAAAATAAACACCAATGCACTTAAAATAAACATAAACCTTGGCCAGAGACCCACTACCCCATCAGCCTGGGACCAGGCAGCTGTAAGGCAATGTTTACTAAAATCAATACAATTCCCAGGGCAATAAGTTCCTGAAAAGGGCTTGCCCATGGGAACGCGCTGACTTCAACCTTTTCCAAAGACTAACCACCTCTTCTGACCCACCCAACGCAGTCTCTGGTGTCAGGGCAGAACCAAACCAGGGGTAAGACAGGGAACAGAAGCTTTTCTGGAGGGAAGCCTTTCTTGGGAAGTCTTCTTGAGCCTTTTTCAGGCCTGCTTAAAGTTTTCTTTACATCATTGACTGGTCTCTGTGTCATCAATCCTGACACCCTCTGCACATTCTCAGATAGAGGCTGCATAGTGGCCAGGGCAAGTATGTTTAAAGTACTGAATATAATTTAGCATGGCCTTCCAAACAGAAATGTCTTATTTCAGTACCATCCTGACTTTACAGATTTCCCAGAGGTATGTTTGTACACCACCACCACCTGCCTATGTAGTTTTGTTTTGTTGAGGTTTTTTTTCCTTTTTTATGAATCAGGCATGTCTGATCCTGGCAGCACCAATATACTTCCAAGAAGATGATAGGCACTAAATGTCTCCAGGTGGAGTCTACTTTCTTTGCAGCAAATGTAAGCCACTGGGAAAGAAAGTGCTCATGCCTCATCTGCTGACAGGATGCTGTCCAAATCGGGCAAGCAGAACATAAATGTGAGTGAGTGCCGAACCTTCCTAAGACAAGAGGAGAGGTGGTGGGGCAGTTCTTCAAAGAGACTGCCTCATAGAAAAGACTGTTGAAAAACCTCAATACACCCCCACCTTTTTTTTGAGACTCAGAAGGTCCCCTCAGTGGAAAATTCCCCAAGGTCCCTTCCCCTGGACAGGGAACAAGGTCAGATTGAAACGAACATCTGGTCCAGACTACTGATATAGGACAACAGCAGGCTGTTAAATAAGTTTAATTTTGACCTTGTGGTTTCTCCTGGAAGGATGAGTTATGAGTTATTCCCGCACTTCTTACAATACCCCTATTGCTTTGCTTGCCAAAATTATGTACATAAAAAGAAACTGTCCTAAATCCCAGCACACTCAGTTTGCTACCTGGCTACTGAGGTGCCCTTAGGCCTTTGTAATCAATAAACCTCTTGCGGTTTGCATCCAACTGTCTGGTTTTTGAGCTCTGGATATTCAGCCTGATTACTTCAGGTCTTTCACTGTTAGATATTAAAGGTATTCTTCCAAGCCCCATTCTCTCTGAATATTCAACTGACATGAATTTTCTGTATTTTCTTTTTTCTTTTCTTTTTTTTGGGCATTTTTCAAGACAGGGTTTCTCTGTATTGTTTTGGAGGCTGTCCTGGAAATCTCTCTGTAGACCATGCTGGCCTCGAGCTCACAGAGATCCACCTGCCTCTGCCTCCTGAGTGCTGGGATTAAAGGTGTGTGCCACCAAAGCCAGGCTTCTCTGTTTTTTCAATGGGGTTGTTTTCAAGACAGGGTTTCTCTGTGGCTCAGGAGGCAATCCTGGAACTATCTCTTGTACAACATGCTGGTGTCAAACTCAGAGAAATCCACCTGCCTCTGCTTCCCAAATGCTGGGATTATAAACATGCACCACCAACTCCAGGCAGAGTGCCGCATCTGCTGCACAGCTTGTGTCCGAGAATGTGCGGACGGTGTCAGGATTGACAACACAGAGACTTGTTCAACGATGTAAAGAAAACTTTAAGCTGGCCCCAAAAATGCTCAATTAAACTTCCCATGAAAGGGCACCCTCTAGAAAAGCTTCTGCTCTCTCCTCTCCCCTGGCTGGTTCTGCTCTGACACCAAAAACTGATCTGGGTGTGTCAGAAGAGTCAGTTAGTCTTTGGACAAGTTCGAGGTCAGGGCGGTTCCCGTGAGGCAAGCCCTTTCCAGGAACTTATTGCCCTGGGCATTATATTGTTTTTAGTAAACATGTTTTTAGTAAACATTGTCTTACAGCTGCCTACTCCCAGGCCAATGGGGAAGTGGGTCTCTGCTCAAGGTCTGGTGTCCCCACAATTCACCCTTTTTATTTTCTAACGAGGCACTCCTGGCTTAGGTCAAGTAGGGTCACCCTCCCTTGCCCATCTTGGAGGGACCTTGAATCCCTGTCTTAGGTGGGATGGCTCTTCCTCACAGGTTGTCCCTCAATGGAAGAACCTCATCCTTAAATCATCTGTAACCAACCTTCATGGCTATCGGGATTGCCATGGGCTAAGCTAAGCAATACTTGGTTACGGATCTCTTGCCTCTGGAACAAGGCACGTTTGAGCTCGGCATAAAGCCAGAATGCCTACCACCACTGCCACCATTTCCAGGTCCCACATTGACATAGCACCTATCCATCACCATACTCATCACCAGATCTGGGCCATAACATCCTACCAGCCTTCGTCTGTTACAAGGATAACCCGCACGTGATTTGCATTCTGCTACAAGGGTAACCCGCATGTGATTTACATTTACAATTTGATAAAGTTTACAATCATTCCAAGATCTGCTCAGGAAAGCATTTAGAAAGTGCACTTGCACAGATACATTAGGTACAATCATTGATGTTACACATGTAGCATTATAAAAAATATGAACAAGAGGCTTGTTGCACTATCCACAGAGCACCAATTTGTTTCTGTGGTGATGCAGTTTGTTGATTTAATGTCAGTAGCCTCAGCTAAATATGACTTGAGCCAAAGTCTCCTTTTTGTCTCATTAGGACAAGTTGCATTTCTCCAGAAAAATACACTGGCATAGGCACGATTCCAGAAACAGGAACCACCAAGTCTGATATTTCAAGTGACCATGTCCTGTTCAAATACTAAGAAAAAATGGCTTTTGCCACTCATCAGATTCCATACCAATGTCCAAATGTTTTAAATGGGACAATTTTGTCCCCACAGGGAAAAACTGGCAAAATGATTTCTGTTGTTTCAAGGTGTGTCAAGGGAAGACAGTTAGTCTTTCCAGTTCTCTGTTGGCTTCAGGATGAAAACTCATGGGTCTGGGAGGTTGATGCAGCAGGCCTGTTGAGAAACTGGAAATCTCAAACCAACTGTTTTCCAACTTTCTCGGGCTGTAGATTCAATGACATCAAGGGGCAGGAACACTGATTTAGGAGATCTCACTCAAACTGGCTTAGGTAGGCTCCCATGGTCTCAGGTCCAGTTTTTCTCTGCTCCATGCATCCCAGCAAATGGTCTGACAGCTTCCAAAGCTTTATTCTTTTCCTGCAAGAAAACACAAACATGCCCTCGATCCCAAAGTAGGGTCTTCTCCACTGTCTAGTGCATGGATGTCTCCATTTGACCTGAGCAATAGTTGCTTACGTTCCATCATGCCAGAATCTGTCTGAAGCAGATTGCTCACTGGCATTCACATTTTAAAATTTTTAAATGAGGAGTGTACTACTTGATGAGTCATGTGGGGACTGGGGACATTACTCCCCCTTTTTTATGTTCTGAATTTTCTTTGAACTTTTGAAGCTGAACCATAACAGTAGATGGATTTGTCTACCCTCCTTAGTTAACTATCTAGGTGAATTGGGATCACTATCTAGATTGTTAGTAGATGCTCTTTTTATAAAGGACATATAGATTAAATATTTCCCAAAAAAATTCTGAAAATCACTCAAAGATTGTAAACTATACTGTGTCCAAATATCTTTTGAAAATTATTTGAAGTCTGTGAGCAGCCTTTCCCAATCTAATCTGTAGAGCTCTAACTAGCTGACAAGGCTCATTTGTATCTGAACTATTCTGTTAAAACATTAACAGACTGGTTGCATGTTACTTTTGTCTATATTTAAAGCAATCTAGGTAGCTTTTTAACTATTTTTGAAGGGATTTAA